TGACATTTCCATTATCGTGTGGCGTTACATCTTTCCAGTTAATCATATTCATATCTCCTATTGTGGACTTTTACTTTGGAAATTCAAAAGAAGCATCACGTTCACGGGAATATTTTGAAACTAAACTTTCTTATTTTCTTCTCTCAAATTTTATCCTTTTTTTTGTTTAACCACTTGCTTTATATTTATATCTAAAACTGGTTTAGTTAGAGAATCAACTGCAGAGTTCGATGTTCTTGGGATAAACTTAAATGTAACAACATCAAAGTGGCTGGTAAAGATAATAATGTCTGCTAAAATACCATGAAGATCGGAGATGTTAGAGCCTGTGTTAATGGCTCTAATAAGTTGTAAGGAATCAAATCCACCAAAATGTTCATTATTTCGTTTGCAACTGCCTGTGAAAGAGCAGCTCGAATTGCCAACCCTTCCGCCATTAGAGGCAAAGTGACAAGCTTAACAATCTATGAGAATTGAAGTACTCGATCATGATCTCTGCTTTTAAGCAACCAGCCTAACCCAACCACTTGAGAGTCCTTGATATTTGGTGTTTTTACACTATTAAACTCATGTTTTTATCACCAATTATCCATCACTTCATAGCATTTGCATCAAATTTATATAATTTTAGTCTCATTTCAGAGATTATATGCATCTTAGAGTTAGGACATGTATTTGTACATTTTGGTTCTTGTTTTAGCTTGATTTAGGTACTTTTGGAGCTCTTGGAGGTAAGGAATTGCATTGGAGGCTTGGAAGATGCAATAGATATGGAAGGATAAGCCAAAAGTGCAAAGGAATGAAGATTTGGCCGAGCATACATGACCACTTGGTCTTGACCGAGTGAAATGACACCAAGTGAACCTCTGGTTTGCTGGATATGATTATCACTTGGCTTCCTGACCGACTGGAGCAACACCAAGTGGTCACGCACAATTGACTTTTATGAATTTTCGTTGACTTTTTCGGTTTGACCCGGATCCGATCCGGTTTGTTTTAGGTCGACCCGGATACGTTTTTAGGGGTTATAAATACAATTTTAAAAGAAAAAAAAAACATAAGTTGGATTTGCTCTTTACCCATTTTAGCTTTCAAACCCTTTTCTTATGATTTGTGCTTGGATCTTTTGTATT